GAAGATAATAATGTCTCAGACTTCGGTTCTGGCCAGCGTCTACAAGGTACAGAAACACAAGAGGCCACAACTAGCTATTAGTTATGATCATCTTCCCCTACACACACTGGTTCTGAATAGTTTTAAAAATGACAATTACACTTCAGCAGCTAGCCCAAAGTCTCTCTCTTTTATATAACCGCTCAAAATGATAGCATTCACTAATTTGATAGAATTCTGAAATCGTCATGGGCAAATGTGTGTAACCCAAGTAACATTTTTGGACTATTTGGAAAGTAAATCTCAATTTTAAAAGTGTTCATCTCTAATGCAAAACAAGTAGCAATCACATCAGGAAACTTCCTAGAACCCCTTTATCCCTTTCCTGTCCCACCTCAATCCAAGCCACCCTCTTCCCAGATTTCTGGTATTTCATAACCACCTCCGTTGGAGTATTCATGTTCAAGAAATGCTTCTGTCTGCTACATGTCGACTCCGTGCTGCAGAATTTTACCCATTACAATGAATCTGGCTTTAATAAATTAAAGGCCAGAGTCTCCTCTACTTTCTTTCTAGCTTCCTGCAAAAGTCCACTAGTTGGCCAATGGGTGCACAGCTTGGGTGTGCAGTTACCCATTCATCCTACAGATATCTGAATAACTATGGAATATGTGTGGTGCTGAGTGTTAAGGAGAGCGCTCTCAAAAGACTCCCATAATACAAGGCCTTGTTCTTAAGGCGTAAACAACCTTACACATAAGAGAGTTTTTAGTAAACGTCACAGAATGACAAAATTTTTAGAAAAAACGCTATGCTACCTGAAGCACTCCTTTCCTACCCTAAAATACATGCCACGCATCACTTTTCTAAAATTAAGCAAGTCAGGGAGCTTTATACATCACAACTAACATGCCCAAAAAGGGTGATGCAGGAATAAAAATATCTGCTTTCTAACCTCCTGAAAAATTCAAAGTGGTCCGGGTTTTGCCCGTTTCTCTTAACTCCCCGCCCCCAAAACGCGTAGCCTCTCCGTTCCGTTCTCCGCGCTTCGCCACCTATGGAGCGCAAATACCGGGCCTGCGGGTCCCGGTCCCCGCAGCCTGCCCGGGTACTGCCTCCTAAGGCTGGCAGAGCCTCGGCGGCGGCCTCCCGCCCACGTCCTGCGCAGCGGCCCGCGCCTCCCAGGTCTGCGGGCTGTGCGACCCCGAGCGGGCGCCAGTCCCACCGCACGCAGGCCGGCGGGCCCGCGCCCTCGGCGAAAGCCCGGCTCCACACGCCACCTAGGAGCCCGGCCACGACGCCACTACTCACTGCCCATGGCGGCCGACCCGGGCACAGCAGCTTCGGCGATGTCTTCAATAGGGTCTCAAAGCCAGGGCCTCAGCTTCCAGCTCCCGACACGATCCGGCCGGCTGCGCGCAGGCTCCGCCCCGGATCACGTGGTCCGCGTGCCCGCTCGCGTAGCCCCGCCCCCTGACGAGGCCAGGGTCGTTGGCGGCCCGCGCAGCCGACATTCTCCGCGTTGACTTGGCCACTGCCGGCCAAGGGCGTGACCCCGCCAGGCTGGGCCTTTGGCACCTTGTGCGAGCCTACAGCGGCTCAGGCCTTAACACTCTGAGCACGTGTCCGAGCTCAGTGTCAAGGAATGACGGTTTCCTTGACAGCTGCGTGGGTCCCAGCACCCAGAGGACCCCAAGGGGCCTGTCAGGACCCGGCCATGGAGTGCTCCCCGAATTCCGTCCCCGAGGCCTGGACCTGAGGCCACTCACGAGAGCCAGCGTGACCCGAACAGCCTTTTTAATTTGCTTCCATCATATCGGAACCTGTGGGATGTTTTTAAAAATTTGGGACACTTTATAATAGCTTATGAAATACGCACTCTCTACTGTGTGCGACTCTTCAGCTTCTCCAAAATGCAGAGATCAGGATTTTGTACCCTAGACTGGTCACTTATCGCTTCGTCGATGACGTAGTATAATGGAAAGGATACAAGTTTTAGAAATCAGCCAACCCTCTCCACTTTAATCCCTCCTCCACTTCTTAATGGCTTTGGACAATTAGCATTTCTGAGCTACAAGGGTAAAATAAGGATAATCGTAACCACTTCCTACAGGTGTGAAATTAAAGATCAATATATAGAAGGACTTCACATGTTTCCCTTATCCAAAATTTAAACCACTGCAATGTAACTCCTCTAACATATGCTGAAACAAGCTCTTTCAAAGGCCACTAATGACCTACAATCACCAAATGCAATGATCTGTTGTAATGCTTATATCTGTGTGGGTGATTCTCTCTAGCTAGGGTCCTCTAAGCCCTTTCTCCACTAGGTTGTGTTTTAACCCACAAAGACTTAAGCAAACACTAACATAGTTTCTAACCATTCCTAGGATCACTTTGCCCCCCATTTAAAATATATGCCTGGGAAAGCTCAAGGTCACCAAAGAATTTACCTTTCCTTCCAGGCAACATCTGGATAGGGTCTCTGTCTCCCAGCCTTAGTCGGAAGGTAGAGGTTTAACTTCCCTCAGTTCCAGATAATAAACCCAGATACATTTTATATGGACCAAATCCTCCTTCCTGTTTTTTGTAATTTTCCACTTCCTTTACCCTGTGAGCCCCACTCATCTCCTTCTCTTTTCCCCTATTCTCCTTCTAAACTGCCCAATCACCTCTAGAAATCAAAGTTGAGTTTAGTTCATGCGCACTGTTTTCCCAACTGCAACAGTATATTACTGATTAAAATCTCTCCTGACCACTTTAATTAGTGTCTGGCTTTATCTTTGAATATATATATACACATACACATAGACAAGGGACCACAAAAAACATAATTTATAAAAAATTGTGTTTATTCTTACATGTTTAAACTTCAGTAACCTTCAAAGTTCTCTCCATTTGATGCAATAGACCAATCAAGATGTTTTTATTACTACTCAGAACAGTTTTTGAACTCTTTGATTTTGATGCCTTTCAGTACTTCTGCCGTTTTTTTGTATCACCTCTTCCACCTTGGCAAAATATTTCCCTTTGAGGATGTTTTTCATTGGAGAAACAAACAAACAAATTTTTAAAAAAAAGAGTCCCCTGGGGTGAGAATGGTGAATAGGGAGAGTGGGGCATGGGCCGTGCAGATTTTGGTCAAAAACTGCTCAACACTCAGCATGGTGTAGACATGAGTGTTATTATGAAACAGACAAACACATTGAAAGAGTCTCCAAAAAAAATTCACTGAAGGTGAGCTCAGCCTCTCACAACAACACCATCTGGTTAAGATGGGTTCCTAGAAAACTCACCTTAGCTGAGGAAGCCTGTACTACAAGACCCTGACCCTCCAGAAGATAATTCTGGGTTTTATTGGTTTCGCCCCCGCCCCCAATACATATGGCTTGCATGGGTCTCTGGTCCACTTGAGGTCCTCTGGGACAGCTCCAAAGCCTAATACTTGCTTATCAGAAGTCTCTCTCAAACACAAGTTTGGCATTTGGCACTGGTTGTCAGCTAAGACTTCAGGTAAAGCTGTCAGCTCCAACATCTCCATAGGACTTCTCCATGTGGCCTGAGCTTCCTCACAACATGGCAGCTGGCTGTCAAGTCATGTCCTTGGAGGTGATGCAGCATCACTTTCAGTGCATTGTATTTATGGAGGCAGGCACAAATGCCTACTCAATTTCAAGAGGAAAGAGAAATAGAGTCCAACTCTAGGTATAGATGTGACAAGTTTCTGGAAGAACAAATGGGACACAAAATACTGCTCTAGCCTCTTTTGGAAAATCACATCTGCCATAGTCATAATCTCACATCCTATGACTTCATTCTACTTTGTATTAGTCATTTTCATACTTGTTTAATCTCCCTACTACACCATAAACTTCTAGTTGGCAAAAAAAATCTTACCTAATTTTTGTATCATCTACAGTAACCTGCAAATAGTTGACTTAAATAGTTTTGACACTAATTTCATGAATATAATGTCTTTTCAATAAAGATGCACTAATTTGAAAATCTAATTGACAGAAGAAAAAGAGTAGCCTACACCCCTCTTTACTATCTATTTCTGGGACAGCTCCATGTTTCAAGTAAGAGCCTGGGAATAAGCTTTGATACCCTAGAAAAGTTTTATTAATTACCCTTCCAACATTCTTCAGTTTTTCTACTACTACATGCTACTTATGACTTTACAGGATCATTTCCTATTTTTATTCAGTTATGATTGGTTCTCCATATAAGTCAAGAAGACACAGGGAAACAACACTAAAGTTATATACTTCCATTAATAGTTTTTAAAAATTAACTGATTTTGCAATTGGCAGTGGGGGGAATAATAGTCTGCTTTAGACTGTGCTTTTGCAGATTTAAATACAAACAAGACAATGAACTACTACTTCCATTGAGTAATTTAGGAGCTGTTTGTGTAATAGTGTTATAAATATTGAGGACTTAAACATTTTATCCAAATTTCTCAAAAATATAATAGTATAACATTGTTAGCCTGAATCCTATGAGAAGCTGAAGATGAAGACCAAATATCCTATTGCTTCCAAGTGAAATGTAGGTAAAGCTTTTGGAACCTTAGGACCCAAATGTCTTCACTCTTAAATCTGTGACTTCCTGTATAACCCATAATTTCTTTAAACCACATTTCCGATGTCAAGGAATTTTTAAAAATAATAAAACTTTAGCCCTGGCTGGGTGGCATAGTTGATTAGAGTGTCATCCCATATACCAAAAAGTTGTGGATTCAATTCCCAGTCAGGGCACGTAGCTAGGTTTCAGGTTTGATCCAGGGTCAGGGAGCGTACAGGAGGCAGTTGGTCGATATTTTTCTCTCTCTCTCTTTCTCCCCTTCTCCCCACCCCAGCCCCTGCCCAACTTTCTGTCTCTCTAAAATCAATTTAAAAACATCCTCAGGTAAGGGTAAAAAAAGTATTATAGTCAGCCTAAAAAAGGCTACACTTTAGAATACAGGATGCTTCCTTATAGTATATGTATTGAAAACATAGGAAAAGTGAGCCAGATCATTCTTATAAGGAATAAAATTTTATTTTTACAAAGAATAATATATCATTTTAAACAAAATTAAACATTTTCATGGTTCTTAAAATTTCTATAAACTGAACACCCAATTTGAGCTCTATTCTTCATTAAATATGAAATTTAGTGTAGATAGATGTAAATGGGATACAAATATCACATTATCAAATTTTTAAAAGAAATAAAGTAAAATATTTACCTTATTATATTTTTAATCCCATATTTTGTCATGGAAATATTTGATTTGGAATTTTTCAAATGGTCTCTTCCTACAAAGGAATTCAAAATGCTGACCCATGTTGCTGTAGTGATTAAAAGTAAGAAAGATAAGGTACACAGCTCACGGCTCAAGTTGAAGAAGATGGAACAAGAAACCATAAACAGAGTTGCGAGGCATAAAGTTAGATATTTGGAGAGAGCTACACTACACTAAACTAAAAAAAAAAAAATCTACTTTTCGAGCTCACACTTTTAAATTTTTTTAACTCAAGAAACCAAAAGATCTGAAAAAAAAAGACACTGTACTTTTATTTTCTCCTAGTTCAATATACAACATTGATGACCGTTCCCATTAAATAGACCTTTGTAATTTTAGTGATTTACATGACTGGCACCAAGTTAAATAATTTATAGGACTTGACACAGAAAGGAAGCATTAAGGTGTATAGGAATAAAAGGGATATGAATACTACAGAAATGTTAAATCAATGCAGTAATGCATACATTTATGATGTGAATCATGAATCTACTGCTGTGACCAGGACAATTTATACATTGATTCTGAAAGACATAGCCAGTTGCCAGTAAAAGTAAAGAGGGCATTCCAGTGCCCAAGTACTTCCTCCATCATTTCTGAGAAAAACAGTGTCATGGCACAAGAATGGTCAGTGATAGAGTCTCTGCTGCACCAAGCCATGTAAATCTGCAGAGTTTGCTACTGTTTAGTTATGCTTCTGGTACCATTTAGTTTCAGAATAAGGGAGTGGGTTGGCGATGCCTAGAAATCCCTAAGTACCTGGCAATGGGAAGACCCCACTGTCAAAGTTAAGGTGCTCCTTAACACCACAAATAAACATCACACTGCAGCAGGAATTTTTAGAAGCAACACTGATTAACCAGGGTCTGAAATCCCTATATCAGATACACAAAGTCAATTAAAAATATGAAAATACTACCACAAGAACAATTTAGGAAAGATAATGTGGTAAAGCAGACCACAAATCAATGTCATTGTAGTTAAAACTCTTTAACTTAATAATACTATTAAGATCACATCCAGAGGTTTAAGGATTATGAGTAAAATAACAATCTTGAAAAACTCAAATCAGAAATAATATAGGTTTGATACAGTGTTTGGTGAGACATTTTTCACAGTGGCTGGAAAACAGCACCAAAAATGACATAAATGAAAATATTGGATTTTGAATAAAGGGGAAATTAATGAAAGTGACACCCATCAAACAAATTGAGAAGTAATATTGAAGTAATCTATATGTAGCTATAATATCAGGATAAAGAACTTCCCTGGGCATATACAGTTAATGAGAAAGAGTAAAGACTGAAAAATCTGGATTACAACCTAGCTCTATAACTCACTCAGATCTAACCAAATTGTAACATGATTGTACATTTAAGGATAAAAGTTATTTGTCAGATTCATGTATTGATTCCCTTGGCTATTCCATGTATTTCAGATTAAATGGTCCTCATCAGTCCCATCTTAGAGAAATACAGGTTTTTCATGTTACCTAATGGAAAAAGGGGAGGATAGAGGAAGCAGGCGTTACTTTTCATGGCAGTTTTCTTAACAGTAAGTTGTTATATTTCTTCAAAACACATCATCAAGCAAAGGTCTTGGTGAGGACATCTTCATGCTGCTGCTGGTGAACAGTGCCAATTCCTACAGCAGGTACTGGCAAAGGGGGTCGGCTCACAAGGCGGAGCTGTCATTGGAACAGAAAAGAAATAAAATGACATTTTGACCTGATCAGAGCTCTTTTTAGTTAACCAAGAAGGTGCATGTATTTTTCCTAGCTTCTTGAACACACATCACCTTTTTGGAAAAATAATGTCTTACATAGGATAGACTGTCACAACTAAAAACCAACTAAATTCCAGGCATAATAAGGTAGAATAAATTCTCGAATTTGTCCTATTCTTCAGTAACTATTAGCTGGTTTAGGCTGTAGAGTTTCCTAAACTAGAGTTATTTCTATGTGAAAATGACTTTGGACTAGCCAATTAGTATCAAATGTGAACAGACTTCTAGTCAAAGTAGAATAGAAAGATAAAACAGAAGCATAATTGCTCTTCTCATTGTTTTTCCCCTCCTACAGCATAATCAACAATAATTTGGCCTTTGGGGGATCCCAACTGTTTAGATGGGCCTGGAACAAGCATCATTGGGTGTCTCTTCTCCCATATTGTAAAACAAGCCTGCTCGTCACTCAGCTCCCCAATGGTTTGGATGTTGACCTTTAGGACAAGAATGCTGAGTAGACTAGTGGGAAAGTAGCCCACAAGTAAAGGCTTTTACTTTTCTAAGTATAGTCACTTTTTGTTTTACATGATACTAGTATATACACATAGCACAAAAACACTCAGTATTTTATTTTGAAAGAATAGTCTAAAACTAGACTTTATCTTTTAGTTTATCTTTAAAAGAGCTGGACTGATAATAGGGGATAAAACCATTTGTTTGCATTCTAGGAAAAACAAGATACCAAAATGTTACAAGGGAGGGAGAGAGAGTACCTTGCAGGCCAGTTGCTTTTCAAACCTTGGAGAAATAAAACACCATGGACCCATGTTCTGAGGTTCCTCCTGACTCCAAATAAAATCTATAAAAGAATAAATTTCATTTCAGTACCTCAAGTAAACATATACAACATAAACACACACACTATGTATATATATACACACATTTTTCCAATATGGCATATTTTCTTGTCTTTTTTTTTTTTTTTTTTTGGACAAATGCATAGTAATATATCCACCAGCACAATCATGATACAGAACAATTCTATCAATCAAAAAAACTCCCTCATCTTGTCCCTTTGTACAATACTAAACTCCTCCTCTTACCCCCAGCCTCTGGCAACCACTGCTCTTTTCCCTGCCCCAACAGTTTGCCTTTTCCAGAATGTCAGACAACTAGAATCATACAGTATGTAGCCTTTTGGGTCTGGCTTCCTTGAATTAGCAAAACTCATTTGTAATTTTGTCAAGAGCAATAGTTCACTCTTTTTTATTGCTGAATACTATGACCTTGAGTATGGATATACCATGGACTGTTTGTTTTTTTTTTTAATTTATTGATTTTTAGGAAGAGAGGAAAGAAGAGAGAGAAACATTGATTTGTTGTTCCACTTATTTATGCATTCATTGATTGATTCTTGTATGTGCTCTGACCAGAGATCAAACCTACAACCTTGGCATGTAGGAACAACATTCTAAACAACTGAGCTACCTGACCAGGTCCTATAACACAGACTGTTTATTCATTCACAGGTGGAAGGACATTTTGGTTGTTTCCAGCTTAAGGCAATTATGAATAAAGCTGTTATAAACATTCACATGCAGATCTTTCTGGGGAGATGTTTTCCATTCTCTCAGATAAACACCTTTGAATGAGACCATTTTGTGGTATAGTAACTGTGTGTAACTGTATAAGAAACAGACAAACTATGTTCCAGAGTGGCAGTACCAGTTTGCATTCCCAATAGCAGTGAATGAGGGTCCCAGTTGCTTTGCATCCTCATCATCACTTGGTAGTCAATTTGTTGTTTTGTTTTCATTTTAGCTATTTGAATAGATATGTAGCCATATATCATTTTGGACTAATTTGCATTTCCATTATCACTAATTATGTTAAGCACCTTTTCATATATTTAGTTATTTTGCCATATGGTTCGTCAGTAAAGTGCCTGTTCAGTTCTTTAAAAAATTGGATTATGTATTTTATTATTGTTGAGTTTTAAGAGCTCTTTAAACATTCTGGATAGTCCTTTGTCAGATATCTATCTGCAAATATTTTCTCCTAGTTTGTGGCTTGTCTTTTTATCTTCTTGGCAGTGCCCACCACAAGTGCAAAAATTTTTCATTTTGATGAAGTCCAATTTTTCTTGTATGGAACACACTTTTGGTATTATATCTAAGAACTTTTTGTCTAGCCCAAGATCCCAAAGATTTTATTCCATTTTCTTCTAGAAGTTTTGTAGTTTTACATTTTACATTTAGGTCTATGATCAATTTTGATTTAATTTCTGCATAAGATGCATAAAGATATCCAATTATTCTAGCTCCATTTATTGAAAAGTTTATCTTTACAATTATAGTTGATTTATCATAAATGACAGCTATTACCTCCAAACTCTCAAGAAATTAGATGTCTTATATGAGACAAAGGAGACTGAAAGAAGCACCAAAAATGACATGAAGACACTGGCTCTAGAAGTATTATTTTCATATCTCTAGATTCCATGAGATCTAATTTTCTGATAACTCTCACTGTCCCCATAACAGTTTTTCACTTGAGATAGTTCCAATAGGTTTCAGATATCTAAAAGTCAAAGAACCTTTTACCTTTAACATGTTTGTATTTGCTCATCTCCTGTTGTAATGAGTCCAGTGGGAAAGGACAGAGTTCCTCTATACGGATAATGGCAAACTCACGCTTCTTGGCTTCCAGAGTTTCTCTTTGCTTCAGCAGGGCATAGAAGTGTTTGCCACAGCAAAACACTAGACTCTTAACACTGTGGGCAAAAAGGGGGCAGAAGGATAGGGGAGAAATACCTTAAAGTAAGACTTGTATCAGAAGAAAGGGGAAACCTGTAGATTTAAATGCTTCACTAATGAAGCCGTAGGGTGCTATAGTTGGATTCAGTCACGTGCTATGCCCTGGCAAGCTTTCTTTAGCAACATATGCCTCCAAAGTTCACTCTTCCATGCATATTATAACTCCTACCCAACTCAAATGATTTATAAAAGATTTAATTCCTACAAATTAAAATTCAACTACCAAGTATGAAAACAAAATATACATCAAATTACTTTTTTGGATCCACAGATGAATCACCAATGACTGGTGTGAATGTTGTTCCTGGTGCCATTTCCTGAAGAGTTGACACAGCTGCCTAAGGAGGAAGGAAAAAGCCACAAATCTATTAAACAGTGGAAAGGAGCTGAAGATGCTTTTACTTACAAAGGATCTTGACCAAGAAACAGTATCAAAACTCTCACCTAGGACTATATAAGTAAACATATATATAAATAAATAAAATAGCTTTAAAAAAAATTCAGTTCTGAATACGTAATAATAAATTGTTTTCCTGAGGTTAGATAAGATTGTCTTTAGTCTGGTGCCACAATAAAATTTTAAGAATCAAAATTTCAATTTGATCATACATCTCTATTGTTAATAAAAAGTATGCTCTAATTTTTTGGAACTGGCAACATTTTATAGAATTTATATTATGAATCAAAACAGCTAAGGTAGGGCAACTATTTCTTTAAGTTTTTTATTATCATTTATAAGTGAAACCTATTTGTCAAAACAAAATAAGTGAACATTTCTGTAATGAAGAGAAATTTTATAAATTAGCTAGATCTAAATAAATGCTTGTTGCAAAGAACTTAGAGTACAAAACTGATGAAGTCAGGTTAGGGATTTGATCCCTTCTGCTATCATCTAGTTAGTTTTCCCGCAGTCTAGACCAAAATGGGCATCTGGCATTTTTTTTTATACTCACTAGAGGACATCATCATTGCTTTTAGAGACAAAGGAAGGAAGATAGGAAATGAGACAGAGAAACACTGATGTGAGAGAGAAGCATCCATTGGCTGCCTCCCAGACACACCTGGACCAGGGATCAAACCTAGTGACCTGACTAGTAATCAAACCCTCAACCTTTCTGTTATGCAATGATGCTCCCACCAACTGAGCCACACTGGCCAGGGAGGTATATGGCATTTTGACTAAGACCATTGTGGGCAGCCACACTGATGTTGGAATATTGTGATATAACCTAAAAATTAATATTGACTATTCAGCTATTCTTATTACTAATTAATGTAATCTTTCTCCATGCAGAACCAGATCTGTTTGTCAGTCCTCACTTCCTAGAACAGAAAACAAAAGGAGTTGGGTGGGAAATTGGAATGGGATTTTGGTACCATCTGATGCACAGTCTCCATATAGCCCTGAGTCATGTTTGTCATGTGGCAAGACACATCCAAATAGGCCATCAAAAGAAAGGGTTGACTTATGTTCTGATAGATCATTTGTACCAGTAATCAAATTTTCAGGAGGAAATCAGAATTGAATAATGGTTGTACTCATTTTCAATTAATAAAGAACTTATGCCCTGGCTGGTGTGGTTCAGTGGATTGAGTGCTGGCCTGTAAACCAAATGGTCCCTGGTTCGATTCCCAGTCAGGGCACATGTCTGGGTTGCGGGCCAGGTCCCCAGCTGCAGGAGTGCAACAGGCAACCAATTAATGTGTCTCTCGCACATCAGTGTATCTCTTGCACATCGATGTTTCTTTCCTCTTTCTCCCTGCTTTTCCCTCTCTCTAAAAATAAATAAATAAGACCTGAAAATAAAAGTAAAAAACCTTACATGCTTAATGAAGATATTTGACTACTTAGTAGTTTTTCACTTGAAAATCTACAGGATACTTGTTGATATTTTTTAAGGCTCCTAAATAAGGCTTCTTTTATTTGATAAGTTATATATTAGATTTGGGGCAAGGTGTGAAATATTAGGACTAGAATATGAACTTTTATCTTGGTTTCAAATAGCAAAAAAGATACTCAATAAAATTTCTAATAGCTCACTTAAGACTTGGTAATATACATATATTATACTGAGATATTTAATATCATTACATTTGCTATTGACACCCAGAGCTGGAACAGGGGTAAGACAGGTGAGGTGCCTGAAGTGCAAAATTTAAGGTGTTCACTCCAGGATCGCTTAAGTGCTGACCATGAGAGTATGTCCTTACTACCCTCCAAATGCTAGGGATTGCTTAAAAATGCAAACACTTGAAGTTCTCTGTTTTTCTAAAGATTTTATTTATTTATTTTTAGAGAGAGGGTGTAAGGAAAGGAGAAAGAGAGGGAGAGATACATTGATCGGTTGCCTCTTGCATGCCCCCAACCAGGGACCTAGCCTGCAACCCAGGCATGTGCCCTGACTGGGAATCAAACCAGCAACATTTTGGTTTGCAAGATAATGCCCAATCCACTGAGCCACACCAGTCAGGGCAAATCACTTGCAACGTTCCTCAAAATCCTTCAGTTTCAAATCTACACTCTCAAATCTTTGTGCAAAGCACAAGATAGTCCTGAATAGCCATATTTCACATCAGCAGTAGTATCCAAATAACTACAAGGTTGTTTCAAATTCATCCTAATTAAGATCCTCATATAAAACTGGAAAAAAGTATAGCAGATGAGATAAAAATATGCTTACTAGTATTTATTACCTTGAATGTGGCCATTTGAAAACATATTTGTGATTAAAAAATAGGTTGTGCATTTAACACTTAGATCATGTAAACCAAGAGAAAATGTATACTTTTTAAAAATGTATAATTTTAAAGCAGTGTACGATAAACTATGTTGTTATGATGCCGTGCTTATTGCAACAGAAATCTACTTGTGATAAATCATTTAACAGAAAAAAATCTAAACAAATGTCAATGAGTAACACCACTTGTTTTCATCAAAATACTCTATATTCCCAACTTGCTGCTAGCAACACAGTAGTATTTAGACTATTGGGACTTCTAAGCTTTTTTTATAGAATTGTTTCCTCTTAGACCAGGATACCAGTCTTTCATTACAGAAACTGAGAGCTACCTGTATTTCCAGTTGTTCTTGAAAGGTGAGAGAGAGAGAAAGAGAGCAGCACAGCCAACTAAAACTAAAAAAGATGTTTCTGTAATTTAGAACTACAATTAGATACAGAAAACAGGGGGGAAAAAACAGTAGAAAAAAAATGACAATGGGAGAAAGGCTTCCAACAAACTTTTTCCACTTACAGGGAACCTGAGTAACATCTTCGGAGAAGCAACAATGAGGGGTTTTCTGAAGTTCCGGACCATTTGTCTCCTGAGCAAGTGGAAATACTGAGCAGGAGTGGTGGGGTGCACCACGAACATGTTCACATTGTCCCCATCCACCCCCTCCTCTACGCTGTCACACATCTAGAAAAGAAATGAAAGAAAGGAGATTATTCAGATCATCTCATCTAATCATAACAACATCTGCTCTCCAAAGGGACCACAAGGCTCTCAATGATGAAAGCTATTTCCCTCCATTACAGAAAATACCAGGAGGTAAATTTATAGCCTATGAAGAATTAACCACAGGATGGGTATGAAGGCTCCCTGCAACTGCCTGAGTCTGTGTATTTTAGCATAGTTGTTCCCAAACACAGCTGATTTCAAGAAGCATCTGGAGGGGACATTTTTTAAAAATACAGATTCTGATTACTGTGGGGTTAAGATTGTGAGTTTGTGGAAGGAAGCACTGTCAGAACCTCACTTTCCTAATGAAATAAACACAATTGTAGTTTGCACTGTTTGCTTTAAAGATTAGACAAAATCAAAAGCAGCTTAACAAGGTTAAAAAGTTGAAGGAAAGGAATGAAATCTTAGAAAATCCTGGTGGGACAGAAAGCCAAGGCATGGCTCCTAACCCCACTCCAGAAGCAATGGAGAGAAAAGAAAGTGATTTGACTAAACCCAGACAATTCTTGTTAGTTCCCTCCCGTTTGGAGAGAGGGTATGTATAGGCAACACTGGGGAAAAATAATGGCAAAATCTAGAGCAGAAGCACCTACAGTGCTCACTGCCAGGCTTGCCACTTCCAAAGCATTACATCTGTTTCATTCAAACAGTACAATGTCTGACAATTTAACGTTCACATTAAGTATCTTCCGAAGGCAGTTCTAGTTCAAAGTACCTTGGAAGCAGGAAAACATTCCTGGGAATCCAAAAAGTATTGGACATACCTGCAAGAAACGCTCTATGCGACAAGAGGAGTGGTCAGGTCCAGCCCCATCATACCCATGGGGTAAGAGGATCACAATGCCGCTCTGGAGGAGCCATTTGGCCTCTCCTGGAAAAGCAGGGGGAGGGACTGAGACCTCTATGAAGCAGGATCGAAAGGGTCTGATCTGACTTGAGTAGTGAACAATTGTTAGTTTGCTGCCTGACTCCCGAAAACCGTTTTCATTACTTGTATTGTCTGGCATAGTTACACCATACTTGGGAGAAGAAATATCCATCCTACCAACTGAAACCCTGGAATGATATATGCCCTGGGCTTAAGCAAGTGGAAGACAAACTCAACGGTGAACATCTGGCTCCCAGGACAGTGTGGCCATGCTGACTCCACTTCAGGCACAACTCTAAGACTGGGCAGCTCCTGCTTTTCCTTATAGCACTCCTGACAACACATGCCACTGTCCTCAAGCTGAGTCTATGGAGTCTCTGGACGGGTCAAAGTCCAGCCTCTTCAAGGCACATTTCTTTTTTATTGTTTTTATTTTAAATTTCATTTATTGGGGTGACATTGATTGGCATGTTTCTTACAACTACACAGTTACAGAGAAACACAACAGAGGGAAGGATCTATAGTGCGTACTCAAAATCCAAGAGTGGTTACCCTCTAAAATGGGGTGAGAGTCTGGGGGAGACTCACACCTGTACTTTATATACTTTAAATTTTTACAGTAAACAGCTACCACTTTTATAAATGATCATTAAAAATAATAAAGATGCACAACTTCCCATGTTCAGATGCTTGAGTGTCCCTGGGTTGAGGGAAGCAGATTTTCAAGGCTGTCACTCACTCTGACCACAAATCCTCACTGTGTCATCATTGTCTGCTTGTAATTCATGTCACAGCTACTTAACAAACCCAAGAGTGGACCTGAAAATCAAACTACTTAGGACCTAGTAGGTGCAGGTCCTGCTCCCTTCAGCCAAATACATTCCCCTGCAAATGGGAAGGTGCTCCCTGCCCAGTACCCAGCTCTCCAGCACCTTATTTAACTCTGAAAGCTGCCATGCCCCAGTGACAGGGCAACCCCTCAACTCTCGCCAGGGTCTGTGGTACAAGGAGTCTTGTAAGCAGCTACAGCCCTTTTTCATTCATTTGTCCCCATGAGGCTGGTGCCATGTGTCCACTGCACACCCAAATGCCAAAACCTACCTCCAGAGATGAACGTGTCAAAGATAATCTGGGCACCATTGAAGAAATCGCCAAATTGAGCCTCCCAGAGAGGCAGTAAATTAGGGCTCTCGATGCTCATCCCATATTCAAATCCTAGGACAGCCTCTTCTGACAGCGGGCTGTTGCTGACCTGACTCAAAAAAAAACAGAGACACTGTCATGCTGGGGAAGCAGTGACTGAATCAGTAAAGGTAAAAGCCTCACATTTATACAAACCTCTCAAGAGGGAGGAGGGGCAGCAAGTGAAGCTTTGTTTTCAGTCATCTCCACATGCCTTTGGGAAAAAGCCCTCTATGAGTGATGCACATGGGAAAGTTGGGACAAAAAGAGGAAGAGATGAAAGAGGTTGGAATATAGGCATTCAAGACTTTCTTCAAGGATAAGCAAAATTAACTTTTCAGATGACCCACCTTTGGAGTTGAGAGTAAAACTTGTGTCATATAACCTTTTTTTAAAAAAAAGTTACAGAACATGGGAATGCAGACTGGGGCAGCCACTGTGGAAAACAGTATGGAATTTCCTCAGAAAACTAAAAATGGAATTGCCTTTTGACCCAGCAATTCCACTGCTGGTATTATACCCTAGGAATCCTGAAACAATAGCCAAGTGTTGGAAGCAATCTAAGTGCCCATCAGTAAATGAATGGATCAAAAAACCATGGTACATTTACACAATGGAATACTACACAGCAGAAAGGAAGAAGGAGCTCCTATCCTTCATGACAGCATGGATGGATATGGAGAGCATTATGCTAAGTGAAATAAGCCAGGGGGTGAAAGACAAATACCATATGATCTCACCTATAAGTAGAACCTAATCAACAAAACAAACAAGCATGCAAAATATAACCAGAGACATTCAAATAAAGAACAAACTGACAGTAACCAGAGGGGAGGGGGGAGGGAGATAATGGGGGAAAATAGGGGAATGGTTGTCAAGGAATGTGTATAAAGGACAAAACCAAAGGGGGTGGGACCAAGGGTGGGAGGTAGGGAGAGGTGGGGCGGGGGAAGGGAATGGTGGGGGGAAGTGAAGACAACTGTGTTTGAACAACAATAAAAAAAGAAGTCACAAAACAAAGGGGGAAAGTTACCAAAAAAAGGTTTACCTTAGGTTAGAATCCATAATATTCTATTTGGTCAATAGAGTAACAGAACCATTGTGATATATTAAGATAAAAAAAAGGAAGGGCAGAATACAAAATTATGTCTCTGAGGAGGCTAAAAGGACATGGCAATTAAATGCAACATGATTCTGAATGGGGTTTGAGGGCCCGAGGGCAGTCATGGCACAATGTTAACTTCTTGACTTGGATGGTGATATTGTGGTAACGTAGGAGAATGTCCTTGTTTGTAGGAAATATCTATCTAGTGCCTCAAAAATTGACAACCTGAAGTTTCCAATTTGATGTCTCAAGTATTTCAGAATGAGAAGAAGTTCCTCACGCATTATACATCCAAATATTTATAATTTTGTGCTTCTTTCAAAAATTTATTTAAAATATTCTTTGAAAGTTATGTATCTGTAAAATATTATCTGGCAATAAAAAGAATAAAATATTGATACATACTACAACATGGATGGACCTTGAAAACATGATCCTTAGCCAGTCACAAAAGGCCACATGACACATGATTCTACTCATATGAAAAGTCCACAATAGGCAAATCCATAGAGACAGAAAGTAGATTAGTGATTGCAAGGGGCTTGACAGAGGAAGGAATGGGGAATTCCTGCTAAATGTGTAGGGTTTCTTTCTGGGATGATAAAAATGTTCTGAAATTAAAAGTGGTGAGGGTTACACAACTCTGTGAATATACTAAAGACCACTTAATTGCACACATTGAAAGGTTGAATTTTTTTTTAATTTTGTATTGTTTATTCTATTACAGTTGTCCCAATTCTTCCCCTTTTTCTCCCTTCCACCCAGCCCATGTCTCTAGCCAGCAGTCAATCCCCTCTCCGTTGTCCATGTCCATGAGTGATTCATACATGTTTCTTGACTAGCCTCTTCCCCTTCTTTTCACCATTTTGCCTCTCCCTCCTCCCTTCCTATAGCTATCAGTCTGTTCCATGTATTCATGTCTCTTGTTCTATTTTTCTCATTAATTTATTTTGTTCATTAGATTCCAGTTATAAGTGAGGTCATATGGTATTTGTCTTTCACTGATTGGCTTATTTCATTTAGCATAATAATCTCCAGTTTCGTTCCTGCTGTCCCGCGAAAGGTACGAGTTCCTTCTTTCTTTCTGCTGCATAGTATTCCATTGTGTAAATGTTCCACAGCTTTTTAATCCACTCATCTACTAATGGGCACTCACTTGGGCTCTTTCCAAAACTTAGCTATTGTAAATAGTGCTGCTATGAACATAGGAGTACATAAGTTCTTTTGAATTGGTGTTTCAGGATTCTTAGGGTATATTCCCAGCAATGGAATCGCTGGGTCACAAGGCAGTTCCATTTTTAATTTTTTGAGGAAATTCCATACTGTTTTCCACAGTGGCTGCACCAGTCTACATTCCACCAACAGTGAACTAGGATTCCCCTTTCTCCATATGCTCACCAATACTTGTTGCTTGTTGATTTACTAATGATAACCATTCTGACAGGTATGAGGTGATATCTCATTATGGTTACCATTTGCATCTCTCTGATGGCTAGGGACGTTGAGCATCTTTTCATGCCTATGGGCCATCTCTATGTCCTCCTTGGAGAAGTGTCTATTCATGCCTTTTGCCCACTTTTTAATTGGGTTGTCTTCCTGGTATTGAGTCATATGATTTCTTTATATATTTTTGAGATTAAACCTTTGCTGATGTATCACTGGAAAATGTTCTCCTATACAGTTGGTTCCCTTTTCATTTTGATGACAGTTTCTTTAGCCATGCAGAAACTTTTTAATTTGATGTAGTCCCATTTGTTTATTTTTTTCCCCTTATTTCCCTTGCCCTAGGAGATACATCAGCAAAAATATTGCTACGTGAGATGTCTGAAATTTCACTGCCTATGTTTTCTGCTCAGACTTTTATGGTATTTCTACTTATATTTAAGTCTGAAAGCCTGAATTCTATGTTATATGTCAATAAAGTTTTTATTTTTAAAAAACAAAAAAGTATATCTGTACAATGATTACAACTATAAAATTTTGTGATTTATATGCATAAATAGTCAATGATAACAGAAAAATACAAATAGATGATTATTTCTGAGTTCCATTTTGATTTCAGTAATAATCTATATATTAATTTTTAAAAAGACTGCTGAATTTCTCAGATTTATATGTGTGCTATAAATGGGGTTTGTAGTGGTCACTTTTCTTGTACCTCCACCGTCCTCACCTCATTCCTCATCTCTCTTCTTACCCAAGGCTGACATGCCCATTCATATTCTAAATCCATTGGCCTTTGGCTTCTCCCCCCAGCTTCACCACCTAACCCCTCTTTTCTGAAACTCTCCTCACTAGCTTTCTCCTCTCAGTAGATAGACAATCAAAAGCTTAAAACCAAAACAAGAAATAGTCTCGATCAGTGCTCTCCAGTCACTGCTTCCTTTCACAGTCAAGCTTCTAGAAAAAATTATCTAATTCACTTGCCTCTACCTCCTTAACTCTTGTTTATCTTTCAACTGGCATAATGTAGCTTCTGCTTTTACCACTCCACTAAAATAGGTCTACCAAGAAATGAGATAGCCAAATTGACACCGAAAAAGAAATAGCTCTACATGAGGTCAACCCTTGACTCTAGTTGCCAGATCCAATGACCATGTTATTCTTCCTCTTATCTGACTCCTCCATCCTTGAGTTCAATGACATGGTGATTCTAGTTCTCTTCATGCATTCCTGGGTGCTTTTTATGGAAAAAAATTTCCATAAAAATTTTATGTAAGTGGTGCTTTTTAGCTCCACTTACTTAATTTGCCTGACAGAAACCTCTGTGTCATTCAGCCTCTCTAAGTCAAATGTCCAAAACTGAATCCATTATATTTCCTCACCAAACTTGTTTCCATTTCTTTACTCCCTGTTCCGGTGAACGCTGTCATCATATACCAGTTGTCCAAGTCATAAAGCTAAAAGGAAACTGAGACTGGTCTTTCTTATTTATGCCCTACATCTACCACTAAGTCCTTCAGCTATGATTTTCTAAACAGTTCTCAAATCTGACCCCATCTTCCATCTGCACTGTTATTGCCCTAATTCAAATCCCTGTGATTTCCTGCCTAGATGATTGAGAAGCCTCCTTAGAAATTGTCCTAAATTCTCACTCTTTTTCAACCTAGGCTTCAAGTGTTATCAGGAGTGACCTTTCTATTGATAATATAAAGATCAGATCATCTATTCAGAATTCCATCACTGTTTCTATTTTACATACTACTCAAAGTCTTTTTCTATGTGGATAGTCCTATGTGGCTTGTCTCCTCATTTTTACTCCTGCATCCACTTTGCAGTTTAATCTCCAGCCATATGAAGTTATTTGTAGCTCCCTGGGCATATCAAGTCCTTTCACTTCTCAGTTTTTTAATGTGCTATTGTGTCCACATTGAATGTTCTCCCTATACGTGTTAGAACAGGCAACTCCTACTGTCCTTCAAGTTTAGTGAAATTTGGTTTCCTTGCCAAAGTTTTTCTGATTTCCTCAAAAAGGATAAGCCACTCCTTCTCCTATGCATCTACTGTACTTTGTACACTGGTATACCTTATTTTCTTGAGTCTATTAATGCTTTTACTTATTCCAAAAAGTATTTAAGATGGATTGTAATTATACATAATATATATCATGATGATGCAAAGTAAGTGCAGGGAAAAAAGAGAAATTAAGATTGAGAAACAGAACAGAGTTTGGGGGAAGATATAACTTGGCAACCAACTCACTTTTACCAAGGCTACTGTGGCCTCTGCCCCTTTATAAAAGCCATTGTATGTTTTTTGAAACGTACATATATTAATTGCTGTATTTTCTGGTTTTATGGAAGTCATTATTGGTAAGAGAATGCTGGTTAGTTGCAGAATTCATGGTGTATACACAATAAAGACAAATGAAGATCAAGCAGGTGTTTCTCCCAGGGTATTCATGTAAAGTACACGGTATCAGATAATATATGAAATCTTTGACAGCTTCCTCAAAAAAGAGGAAAGGTGTCTAATTAGGGATTTTCAAATACCAATATTTAAAGCTACTCAATACTATTTATCATAAAAGTCATGGGGGGTGAATATTAAACATTTAATTATCTAGATCATCAATCTGATTTAACACAGGGCTAGATTTTAGACTAACTTAAAGAAAAGCTAAGCAGTATGTCCACTAAGAAATCTTCCTGGAGTTTTCCTTTTGACAAGTAAATTTCTTAAATAAATATCAATATCAATGAACTCAAGATTACACTCTCAAACAAATGGCTAGAGTAGGAAAAAAAGAGGACATGTCACTAATTGAACCTTAAAGGATAATTTATTTTAATAAACATCACATGCCAGGTATATGCTAGTTCCTGGAGAGACAAAAATGAGAAGACCCAACCCCTGCCTTTGACTCTAATGAGTATAGTTCATTGACTGACACATGGAAATATATGGTAATAGGTATATTCATCGAGCCTACTAAACCTTAGTGAATAAAGTAACTTGATAAAAGACCTTTTAAAAAAAATAGGAAAAAATATTAGCTAATTATTCACATCTTTGTTTTACTTTAATGAATTTAAAAATATGCAGTCTATAATGTCAATTTTTGACTGAGAAAATTAACTTTCATTGGACATTTACATGATGCAGAGAAGTAGCCAGAGTAAAATAACCCCAGTCTACTTGCTAGTATTCAATTCCATTCCAAATTTATAGGCCTATATCATCTATCCACTCAGTATCCCTTTACTTCAAAAAGTACTGAACCCCTAGTTGCCTTAAGAATCCTGTAACTATAATCATTAGCATCTAGATTTTACAATAGATAAGGAAACATCCTACCTCTAGAAACCCCTTCTGATTAGGGTCCATATGGTTCAAAGGGATATAGGTGTCAGCAGTCTTCTGGCAAACAACCATTGCATGCCTTTGACTAAATGTTCCACGGCCAACATCCTGGCCACTCAGACGAACATTAAAACCTTAAGCAAGCAAGAGGGGAAAAAGTCCAGATCCCCATAAATAACTTAGTAGTAATAAGACATGATAACCCTGAATTGTTATACATCAGCTTATCCTGAAAGTTTTTCTTAGCATAATAATTTATCCTTATTAAAAAATACTAGTCTTATATTTAAAATCTATATTCAAGGTGAGATCACATAAGAATGGAGAGTCATCATTTGCCTTACAATTTTTAGAGGAAAATTTTTTTTTAATACATCCAGCCCTGAGCCCTTTTTTTCCCAGATATAATTGCTCTAGTTTCTGATGAAGGTTGTCAACATGACTTATACTAAGATTAAAAATAACATTGTCAGGTAAGAAAAGATAACATGTTTTAGAATCTCTGTAGTCAATGAAAACAATAGGAGGTAGTTGTCACTTTAAAATCTGCAGAGGTTACAGATAACAAATGTTGTATTAAAGCATCTCCTACTAGCTGTGCTGCTAAACAGAAACTTCTTACCTTGAGCAAGTAATGAGCCCAAGGCAAGAGCCTCTGCCGTGGCCCAGTCTAACTTGGTTCCATCCATCACCTTCTCCAGTCTAGACTGTAAAATTGAACGTAAGGAAAAAAGAAACTTTAATTAAGAGTCTGTATCCTTTTTCATGGAGTTCAAAAAATGTAATGCAACAATGGGAAATATAAAAAAAAAAAACTAATGTTAAGCAAAAGAGAAAGTGAAAAAGAACACATAAAAGTCTGATAGCAATCATATGACACTTTATTAGTTTTAATCTGTTCTTTGTATGTTTTCTTCTCATATAACATTTTAAAACAGGCAAAACACACAGGCACTGAGGTTAGTTGTTTACCCTGTGGGTAATTGAGAGATGGCAGCAGGAAAGTGTTCTTGGGGAACTGTATTTGTAATATTCTATTTATTCTCCTGGATGGGAAGAACATAGTTTGTTTTAATAGTCTCTATACCTACAATTAAAATCCTGAAATGAAGTTAGTGTTTTAAAAATAATTCAGATCGTAAAGTTTTTTTCATCCAAGTTTAAGAAAGATGAAGGTTTTAACTCCTTGTTCTCCTCTTTTTAGCACTAAAAGTCCTGAGTCCCGGGAAATTCCTGAGTCCCAGGCAAACCGGCCGTGGGTGGCGGGGAGAGGTTGTCACATCTATATTTAACATGAGACAATATGTAAAACCTCAACATGATTAAGGGTCTAAATAGTTGACTCCAGGGGTGTGTTGATTCTATTTATTTTATTTAAGCCTCCCAAAAGAATGACAGTGTTTTCTGGTCAGAAAAATCAAAATGGGCATTCCAATATTGCTGTATTTTTAATAATGTGCATGCAGTACATGTAAATTTAATGTATTAAACAGGAAGGGAGGAAGGAAAGAAGGAAGGAAGGAAGAAAAAACAGAAGTAGACAAAATCTGAGTTGACTATCAGTACCAAAACACCATTAGAATTGGTTCCTAGAACACCACAACATACAAATATTTATCAGATAAATTAGCCAACCAAATGGACAGACCAACCTCAATTCCTTTGCTGCACAAGAAACAAACAATAACCAGAGATTTCAGAGCTTCCCACCTGAACATACATCTTCAGAAGGTGACTGTGCATCTGGAGTTCCTCCGGAACTTCCACAGACTTGCCACCAATAAACCGCAAGAGGTCTAGGGGCACACCTGTGTTCCAGGTGGTAATACGAGCTTCTGGCTGAACCAGGCCCTGCCAGTGCGCCTGCAGGTGAGTGGCAGGGGGGCTATAGTGGGCCAGGTTAGTTAAATGGTCATTTAACTTTGCGTAGTAGGAGGCTTTGATTTCTGACACCTCTTCCTGGGTCATGAGTCCATTGGCAATAAGGTGCTCTGCATACGTGTCTGGAATGCTCTTTCGGGCTCTGTCCAAGAAAGAGGGGGAAAAAATCAATGTGATTTGTAAAAATCAAGGAGAGATAGATATAGTCATTGTCAAAGGTATTGTGGAGTGTCATCACTATAAAAAGGCATGCAGAAAATGCTTTGGAACTACCAGTAGAAGGGGTGGTTGTATGACATTGTGAATGTACTAAATGCCACTGAATTTTAAATGGTCCACTTTATGTCATATAACTTTCACTCCAATAAATTATTTTTTTTGAAAAGACAGTGGTGAGTAACAACTTCATCCAGGCAAGCAAGAGAAAACCAATTTATCTTTATGAATTTTTGTCTACATTCAAGTAGAAATAATTGGTAGTTTCTCTATGAGTTGGTAAATTCAGTTATTTACAGGAGTGACCTAAATAATCTACCCATTCAGCACCACTTTGTTTTAAAAAGTATTAAACTGAAAGTTGCCAACATCCGTTTCAGGTATCTTTAAGACTCCTGTACCTGTTCAGCTCCAGGGTTTTATAACAACAGTAATAATAATGCCAATCTATAGATGCATAACACTTTAAAGTGTAAAGTCTATTAAGATATATTGATATGATCATATTTAATCCTGATCAAAGTGAGAGGTAGACAGGATAGATTGTTTTAAATGGGGTGCTGGGGCACACCAAGTAATTCAGCTGCTAAGCTCAGAGCTAAGTAGATAAGCTAGACTTGTTCTTCCAAAAACAGTCCGCTACCTATGACCAGAATGACTCTTAAAATGTCACCAAGCTTATTCCTCTGCTTTAATTTATGACTATGAGGAAATAAAGAAGCAGGATCCATTTTACTTTCTAGTATCTAAAAAGGAAATTCCAAATTGATATTTCTCTCTGTCACATTAACCTTCCCAATCAACACTGTGCAACAGAAATAGAATGTAGGCCAATGTGGAATTTAAAATTTCCTAGGACTCACATTAGAAAAGGTAAAAAGTAACATGTGGAATTAATTTTAATCACATTTATTTAACTAAATATATCCAAAATATTGATTTTAATGTCTAATCAATATAAAAATTATTATTGAGATAGTTAACATTTGTCATACTAAGTCTGAAATGTGGTTTATAGATTACACTTACAGCACAACTGCATCAGGACTTACCATACATTTCAATCATTCAGTAGGCACTCACAGGTAGTGGCTTCTAAATTGGATAGCACAGCTCTGACAGTCATTAAAATCTATCATGTAACCTCTTGCCAAGGCACACACTAGGTACCCGTCTGCAGTTTGCAGAAGTGGATCATGGAGATTCTGCTCCTGACCCTGCCAATGCCATACTAGGTAACTTCAGACAAGACTCTGCCTAAGTCCTCCTATTCCGTCTTCCTATCTGCTAAGTGAGGTTGTTAAATTGCCCCTTTTGTCTATTCATTGAGGAAAAAATGAAGAGTTTGAAGAATAAGATGACCATCCCAGTCTGCCTAGGACTGTCCCAGCTTTAGCACTGAAAGTTTTGTGTCCCAGACAAACCGGGAAAGTTGGTTATTCTAACTGAGAATGTCAATAAAAAGCAATAATGTGGGCACTATGGGAAAGAAGGTATATTAAATAAAGGTATATAATTGTACCTGATGATTTTGTACATGACTGGGTTGGTGAAGAAGGGCTCATCCAGCTCATTGTGGCCCCACTGCCTGTAGCATAATAAATCAACAATCACATCCTTCCGGAATCGGCGCTGGTATTCAAAAGCCAGTCGTGTGGCACGGACCACTTCCTCTGGGCTATCTCCATTGACGTGGATGATGGCACAGCCCACAAGCTTCCCTGAGGCAGAGAAGACCAAGATGAAGTGGGCTAGTTCACCCAGACAACAATAGCCCAGTGCCAAGTCCTGTTGCCTACGTGGAGAGCCATCCCAGAACCTCGAAGATAGTTTGGGTTGGTCATTAAGAATCCAAGCATTGGTCCTGGTTAGGTAGCTAAGTTGGTTTGAGTGTCGTCCCAATACACCAAGGTTGCAGGTTCAATTCCCAGTCAGGGTGCATACAAGAAGCAACTAATGGAAAAAACTATATACTCTTCTTGTCAAGATGGTGACATATGTAAACGCGGCTTACCTCCTCACACAACCACATCAAAATTATAACTAAAATAATCCTGGCTGGTGTGGCTCAGTGGATCGAGTGCCAGCTTGAGAACTGAAAGGTCACCAGTTCGATTCCCAGTCAGGGAACATGCCTATGTTTCAGCCAAGTTCCCAGTTGGGAGTGTGTGAGAGGCAATTGATCAAGGTTTCTCTTGCACACCAATGTTTCCCACCCTCTCTTCCTTCCTTCCTTCCCCTCTCTCTAAAAATAAATAAAATCTTTAAAAAAATTACAACTACAATATAGAACAACCATAACTCAGAACCATCAGAAATCGAGTAGGAAATCAAGATGGCAGAGGAGTGAGTGGAAGTCATGCTGACCTCCTCCTAGGACCAACCTGGAATTACAACTAAATTGTGGAGAAATCGCCTGGAACAAACAACTGAACAAGAGCGAGAGTGGAAACTTGTAACCTTGGAGACAGAAGAATTGGCTTTAGCACAATCTAACTGGTAGGAGTGCGGTAGAGATCTGAGAAGGTGGGTGGGGTGCCCACAGGCGGCAGCACCAGAAGGATATTGAAACAGCCAGCTGGATCCCCCTGAGGAGAGTTGGGTCTAAAACAAAAGCAAGGATCTCTAGCCCACAGCACCAGAGCCCAAAAAGTGCAGAGAACACAGCCAGCTGCAAAAAGCGGCAGGGTTGCTCTCTGCCAGAGACAGGCAGCTGGAGATGCAAAGAACTGTTTAAAGGGCCATTGCATAAATTTTTCTTTGCAGCCACTTACCCTGGTCTCCAGCAAAGTCAGGGGCAGGGTGGGCTAGAGACACCTGAAGAGAGACTGGGGAAGGAGGCTTTGGGGAGAGAACTGGGAGAGTAGCCAGCAGGATCTCGGTGCTGACTCATCCCCCATATGGCAGCAGCCATCGTGCTCAGGAAGAGACCACTCCCCTGAGCGGTACCAGTGTCAAAGGACCCAATAACCCCGCACCCAGGAGGGACTCTGCCCTGCCCTGAGCTGTCTAAGGCAGTCTGCTGAGTGCAGGCTGAATAGATTAACAGCTGAAGGAGGTAGCCACAGAGAGTAGATTACCGGAAGTCTCGAACAGACTGCCTAAGGTCAGACAGGGTCAATGTCTGATTTAATCAGAGGCAGATCCAGAAAGTAAAAAAAACAGCAGTCTCCAGCCATAGAAGTTCACACCACAAAGTCAGGAAATCAAGACAGATCAATTTACGAAGCAGACGCAAAATAGAAGAGTCTCACAAATAATGGGAAGACAAAGAAATACACCCCACTCGAAGGGAAAGGGGGACTCCCCACAAAGACAACTAAATGAAATAGAGGCAAGTAAACTATCAGATATTGAGTTCCAAACAACAGTTCTAAGGAAGCTCAATGAGTTCAGTGAGCTCAGAGAGAACTACAAAAAACTACAGGGAAACTATGAGGAACATACTACAAACTATGTCAACATGAAAAAGGACATAGAAACTATCAAGAAGACACAAGAGGAAATGAAGAATACAATTTCTGAATTGAAGAACACAGTAGAAGAAATCAAAAGCAGGCTAGATGAAGCTGAGGACCTAATCAGCGAGCTGGAGGAAAAGGTAGAAAAAAGCTCCCAGAAAGAGCAAGAAAATAAAAAAAGACTCAAAAAGAAAGAAGAGGCATTTAGGGAAATGCAGAACAACCTGAAACGTAATAATATCCGTATAATAGGGATACCAGAAGGAGAAGAAGAGGAGCAAGGGATAGAGAACATGTTTGAAAAGTAATGACGGAAAACTTCCCTAATTGGAGGAGAGAAAAAGTCACACAAGTCTAGGAAGCACAGAGGGTCCCATTCAAGAGGAACCCAATGAGGCCCACTCCAAGACACATCATCATTAAAACGGCAAATATCAAAGACAAACAGAATCCTAAAGCAAGCAAGGGAGAAAGAGGTAACAACATATAAGGGAGCCCCAATACTGCTAGCATCTGACTTCTAAACAGAAACACTGCAAGCCAGAAGGGAATGGCAAGAAATATTCCAAGTATTGAAAAGCAAAGGCCTGCAACCAAGACTTCTCTACCCAGCAAGGCTCTCAGTTAAAATGGAAGGTGAAATAAGGAGTTTCCCAGACAAAAGAAGGCTGAAAGGATACACCTCCACCAAACCAGCACTGCAATATATGCTGAAGGGACTGCTTTAAGATGAGTAAGAAGTTTCTATGAATACCCAGTTCCTTTCACAGTTGCCAATACTTGATATTACCAATATTTTTAATACTCATTAATCTGATTGTGACAATGATGTTATTTTAATTGTTCCTTTACTATTTGTTGAAACTAAACCTGTTTTAGTATATTTCTTGCCTATTTCTATTATTTAAAAAAAAAAACTTTAAATGACTTTTTGGTAGTCTTACTCATTTATTGATTAAAAGTTTGTAGAACTTTTTTCAAAAAGAAAAACCTATTAACTATGTTTTAGATGTATTGCAAATACTTTTCTATTATATCCTTTGTCCTTTAACTTTTTTCATATGTATATTACTATATAGTTAAATGTTTAATATAGTCATATTGTTAATATTTACTTTATAGCTTCTGGGTTTGAATATTTTACTTCAGGTCATGAAAAATATTAGTTCTATTTTCTTGTAAAACTCCTTAGATTCTACATATTGATTTTTAACTCACCTGAATATTTCTTGTATAATGTGTGACATAGGGCTCTATATTTGTTTTATTTCAAGTAATAGTGGTCCATGCACCTTATTTGTTGAATAAGCCTTATTTTACCCATTGATTTGAAATATCAACTTAATCGTATATTGTTAGATATATACGTTTGTCTCTCGAATGCTCATTATATTTCATTGATCTACTTGATTATTTCTGTGCTGGTGTCATGTTGGTTTAATTGCTGAAACTTTATAATGGTTTAAAATTTTTTAAATATTTTATAATTAACTTTGACATTAAAAAAATAAATAAAATCAATCTGCATTTAAGAAAGAAAGAAAGAAAGAGAGGGAGAGAGATGGAACTCCTACCTTTTGTGACATGGATGGAACTGGAGAATATTAAGCTAAGTGAAATAAGCCAGTTGATGAAAGACAATTACCATATGATCTCCCTATAAGTGGACTCTATTCAACAAAATAAACTAATGAACAAAATAAACCACAGGCACGGAAACATGGAGCAGACTGAAAGTGACCAGAGGGGATGGGGAAAGAGGACAATGGTGAAAAGAAGGGGAAGGGACTAGACAAAGAACATGTATGAATGACCCATGGACACCAACAACAGAGTAGGAATTGACTGTGGGGGTGGGGGGTGAGGGTGGGGTGGGTGGAGGGGGGTAAAGAGGTAAAAACTGAGACAACTGTAATAGAATAAACGTGACTTATAAATTTGTAAATAAATAAATAAATAAACAAACAAACAAATGAAAGAAATCGAGTAGAATGGAAACCTGCCAACTACGGAATTAAAAAAACCACATCCATCCAGACTGGTAGGAGGGTCAGAGACATGAACGGGCTGGTCTCGCATCCATGTGTGGTAGATAAAAATTCAGAAGGGATATTTCAGGAGCAAGGGTCCCAGTGCCACACCTGGTCCCTCAGCCCAGGGTTTCAGTGCCAGGAAGATAAGTCCCCATATCTGGCTACAAAAACCATCAGAGATTGAGTCGATGGAAGAAACTTCTAGAGTTCCAAGCAGTTCCTCTTAAAGAACCCAAACATGGACTCAGACTTGCTCCCTTTGAGCTCCAGCACCAGGGCAGAAGCTTGAAAGTGGCATACAGGGAGAAACTGAAGCATCTGGCATCAAGAGAAGAGCTAGGGAACAACTTTCTCCCAGGCAGAAAAGTGGGCAGAGGCCATTGTCCCTTTTCTGAACCTTCCCTCCACAGAGCCACAGGCAGGCTAGTGCAATACCTGATACTCCATCAACCCGGCTAACACTGTGGCTACACCTTGGAGATCCCCAGAGACTCCACCCCACCCAATTTACAGGTGCACCCAAGCTTTTCCATATGAATGGCAGGTCTTGGCTCATGCTTTACATCTTCCTAAATCCTCTCAAACAAGCAACACCCAGCCTCAGTGAGCTCCCAGCCCCTTACCCCTTGCTAAGGGGCCCTGGGCTGGGCACTAGCAGCAACCGGCCTAATTTCACACTTTGGCCTCACCTGGGAATCTCCAAGGCCAGCACAAGTAGCAGCATCTCAGATTGCTTTATAGCTCATACAGAGTGGCCCCAGGCAAAACAGAGGTGGGGGCTGACCTTGGCCTTTACCACCTGGAAAACCCCAGAGCCTGCACAGTCAGTGGACAGCTACAGACCACCCTGCCCCTGCACAGCTTATCCTCCACAGAGGGCGGAGTTTGGTGGTCAGTGGCCATAGCCAGTCTTTGCAGCTGACTGGCCTGGGTAAATCTCTCCCAAGGACCTCAGCAGCATAAAAAAGATCCAGTCAGTAACGAAGGATAGACCAATTGAAATAAAGAACAATTTACAGAGAAACAACAGTACAATGGATGAAGCCAAGAATCAAATCAACGATTTGGAATGTAAGGAAGAAAAAAACAAGCAATCAGAACAAGAAGAAGAAAAAAGAATCCAGAAAAAGGAGGATAGTATAAGCAGCCTCTGGGTCAACTTCAAGAGGTCTAACATTTGTATCATAGGGGAGCCAGAAGGAGAAGAGAAAGAGCCAGAAATTGGAAAACTATTTGAAAAAATAATGAAAGAAAACTTTCCTGATTTGGTGAAGGACATAGCTATGCAAGTCCAGGAAGTACAGAGAGTCCCCAGCAAGATGGATGCAAAGAGACCCACTCCAAGACACATCATAATTAAAATGCCACAGGTTAAAGATAAAGAGAGAATCTGAAAAACAGAAAGAGAAAAGAAGTAAGTTACCTACAGGGGAGTTCCCATAAGACTGTCAGCTGATTTCTCAAAAGAAACTTGGCAGGCTAGACGAGACTGGCAAGAAATATTCCAAGTCATGAAAAGCAGGGACCTACAGCCAAGAGAGATCTACCCAGCAAAGCTATCATTTAGAATCGAAGGGCAGATAAAGAGATTCCCAACAAGAAAAAACTGAAGGAGTTTATCATTATCAAACCATTATTATATCAAATGTTGAAGATCAAAACTATGAACAATAAACTAGCAATAAATATATAACTATCAAAAATTGAATCTAAAAAACAAACTAAGCAAACAAGAAGAATAAATAAAGAATCATAGATACAGACAGGATTAAGAAGTACAAATAGTTACAGAATAGTCTTGGGGATGTAAAATGCAATATAGGAAATGGAGTAGCCAGAGAACCTATGCATGACACATGGACATGAACAATCATGTGGGGACTACCTGAGGGAGTGAGGGGTGCTGGGCGAAGGGGGTAAAAGGGGAAAAATTGGGACAACTGCATTAGCATAATCCATAAAATATAACAAAAAAAGAATCAACAAATGAATGCATAGGTGGACAAAGCATCAGGTCTATATTTCTCGCTCTCAAATCAATAAATATTTTTTTAAATTATATTTAAAAAAACAAATTTTGGAGTCCGGCTAATAAGAACAAGTTTCAAGTCACAGCTCTGTGACTTACTGTGTGACCTTCATAAAATTATGAATCTCAGTCTCCTTATCTATAATGCTGGGCTAATAGCTCCTACCTCTTGGTGTTGTAAAGATTGAGTTCATGCATGTAAAGTGCTTAACAGTGCCTGGTATGCAATAACTAATATTTATTTTGTTATTGTCATTATTACTATTATGTTTCCTCCTAAGGTAAAAGTGTCACAAGAGGATACATTTTAGGAAAAAAATGGATTTTCTCCAAGGAGAAGTTCAAGAATGAGTTTTCAGTATCTCTTACTAATCACAAAAAATTCACATAGCCCTAAAAGTCTTCAAGGCCAGGCCTGGGTCTAAAAGCAGTATAGTTCCTACTAAACTTCACGACAGCATGGATGGAACTAAAGAGCACTATGCTAAGCGAAATAAGCCAGGGGGCGAAAGACAAATACCATATGATCTCACCTATAAGTAGAACCTAACCAACAATACAACAATGCAAGGAAAATAAGACCAGCAACACTGAAAGGAAAATAAATGAACAGAGACAAGAGGGATGGGGGCGGGGACGGGGGAAAAGGAGGGGATGGGAGGGTTGGGGAACATGTAGCAAGGTCTCACGGACAAAACCAAAGTGGAAGGATTGAGGGGGGAAGTGGGGGAGGGGGCAGGGGAAGGTGGTGGGGGGAAGGCAGAGACAAATGTATTTGAAAAAATAAAGAAAATAAATTAAATTAAAAAAAATACATCTCTTTAGTATTCTAATTGCTTCACATTGATTATTTCATTTGGGCTTCACAAGACTCTCATGAAAGAGGGTGTGCAGATGTTGCCATACTGATTTGCAGAGAATGCTGATGAAATGAAGGCTGTCAGAAGTTAAGTAACTTTTTGAGGCTCATGTAGCAGTAAGTAGGAGAGCTGGGTCTCAGATCTTCTGACTTCCAGGCCTGTGACTTTGATACTTGTCTAATAATAATAGCCATTTTCATTGAAAGTTAAAATAGTTATTTTTCTTATTGTCACTGCCCACATTTATGAGGACTGGCTAGTTGCATATCCCCACTAGACACTATGATCCTTGAGGGCAGGAACCGTGTTGTCCTGTTTATAGGTTCATCCTCTGTGTCTATATGATGGCCAGCACAGTATATATAGTGCTCAATGAATGTATATTGAATAACTAAATGATTTTAAAAAGTTAAAAAATAAAAATAAAAGCAGTATAGTTCCTACTGTCTAACAGTTTTTATAACTTTGTGAAATAGGGAGTAGGTAATAAAAGCCCAGCATTTCTCTCAATACTGCCAATTTCTAAAACAAGTAAACCTTGCTTCTTCATATCTGGTATCTCATCAAACTACCTGGCAAAATTTAATAAATTTGACATATTAAAATTTGTGAATTCAAGGTATACAGCGTATTCCTTTGATAATTTATATATTGTGATATGATTGCTATTGAAGCAATATTTATCACATTATACCACTATAGTGCAGTATTATTGACTATATTCATTATACTGCACATTAGATCTCTATGGCTTATTTACTATTCATTACAAGTTTGTAACTTAAACACCATCAGTCTTTTCCCTCCTACCCCTGATGCCCTGGTAACCAGCATTTCACCATCTGTTTTTGTTTTTTTTTAAAGCTTTGACTTTTTTTAAGGGTTCCATGTATATGTGATCACATAATAACTATCTTTTTCTGTCTGACATATCTTGGTTAGCATAATGTGCTCAAGGTCCATCCACGTTGTCATAAGTAGATGGCAGGATATCTTTGTTTTTGATGACTGAATAATATTCCGTGTGTATATAAATGACATTTTTGAAATCCATTCATCCAATGTAGGCATTTGGGTTGCATCCATATCTTGGCTATCGTGAATATGCTTTCATAAACATGGGAGTAGAGATATCTTGTCAAAGTCCTGTTTTCATTTCCTTTGCATATATATCCGGATGTGGAATTGCTGGATACTACGGTAGATCTATTTTTAACTTTTTGAGGAATTTCTATATTGTTTTCCACAGTGATTGGACTAGGTTACATTCCCACCAACAGTCTATAAGGATCCCTTTTACCACATCATCGCCAGCACCTGCTGACTTCTGTCTTTTTGATGATAGCCATTCCAAGGTGTGTGAGGTGATATCTCATTGTGGCTCTGATTTGCATTTCCCTGAGGATTAGCAATGCTGAGCTGTGCCTGTTGGCCATCAGTATGTCTTCTTTAGACAAATGTCTATTCATTTCCTCCATCCATTGTTTAATTGGATTGTTTTTGTTATTAAGCTGTGTTAGTTCTTTATATACTTTGGATATTAACTCCTTATCAAATTGAACATCTTTTTGACTAAGATTTGAGTTCTCCAAGTTGGAACATCCTAAAAACAATTACTTCAGTGTTAACTAATTGTGGTGATCTCTGGTTTCCACCAGATCATTCAGATCATTGCTGAATACTTAAGCAATTTTAGGTTCCATTCCAGTCTTATTTCCTTGGATATACAGATTATACTCAGAGTTAAAAGGAATATTAACTTAAGAACACTAAAGGTGACTACTGACTGTATTTGATCCAAAATTTAAAATGGGATAACTAGTGAGGCTCACTGCTCTAAGTGAACTAGAAGTTTCTCTAGAAATTTCCTGTATAACCCAGCAACACCAACAATCCTGGGTAACATACCAATATCGCTACAGTATAAGGAAGACCTTCCTCTATCTGCCGGAGTGGTGTAGCCCAGCTGGTTATTGACAATCAGATGGACACTCCCACCAATTCTGAAGTGTGGGAGATTAGAGAGCGTAAATGTTTCAGGAACAATCCCTTGACCACAGAAAGAAGCATCACCGTGAACCTAAATTATGGGGGAGAAAAAAGAAAAGGAACATAAGCTATGGAGAAATTTAGGTTTTCATGCTGGAATAGTTTTCAAATAATAACAGGAATAAAAATAACAACCCTCTCACTACTCCCCTGCCCTCCTAAAAATCTGCTGGCTGTAGAATATTCTAGAATGGTTATACGGATCTAAAGCAGTTTTCAAAGATGCTAAATCAGTTCTTTTCCTCTTGCAGCCAATAGAAGCTGACCTGCTCCTTCCACCCCATACCATCACCTATACACATCACTTCTAGTATATTCACCAACAGTCTAGCACACACAGCAGCACCAGAGGAGGAAGGGCTATTGGAGGTGCAGAAGGAAAATCAGTCCTAGTAACACATTAATGGAAGCAGCTGCTTTGAACCCTCCTTCTTGCCCAATCAATCTCCCCACACCCCTCAGAAAAGGGACTAAGTGTAGCTCACATCAGCTAAACCCCAGTGGGTGTTTTTGGGACCATTGTGAACATAAAGGAGAGTGATGTGACAGCCAAGACAAGGAGGTGTGTGTGTTGGCGGGCGGGGTGTTGTTGATTATACCACACATTAGAAACAGGAGGCTTTGAGGAAAAAAAATGTTATTATGAGACAATATCTAAAATGTGTTACTCTTCCAGAACATTTGAAGTCTGCTAAATCATAGTATCACAAAACCTGGTGAATGAAAGGTGGCAGAGAAAGGGGGATTTCTTTTTAAGAAAAACTAAAGCAAGTAATGATGAAATTGTAGATCTTAGAAGGTCTTAGAAGAGAATATAAGACTGTAGACTTTGTGTTAAAAAGACCACTAGCATAAACAACCAATATGCTGAACTAAAGAGTAAAATGATCTGATATGCCCTAAATTAAGGCAATCTTTGTGGCTCTAATAATAACAGAATTAAAATAACTAAATATGAATTTAGAAAAAATACTTATAAGTTCATTCTTAATGACACTGCTAATGGCCTGTAGAGTTATTTTTATATAAGTACAATATTTGCAGTAAGAAAGAAAGCATTCCTTTGCCCAAGTGAAATTTCCAGTTCACACCTTCCCATTGCTAGAGTCTATAGGGATAACTGACATTTTGGAATATTTATACCTAGTAATAACATACACTTTCATTATCTCCACAGTACTATACATATCTCGATTAATCTGGTTGTTGAGTGGGACAGGCAAGGAAAAAACTACTATCCTTTTTACAGATAAGAAAACCAGGTTTCAGGAAAAGTATGTATTTCACATGGCTTTCACTAGACACTAGACCTTCTGTGATCATGATACTGCTCGTTTTTTCTAATTTCCCCATCTCTTTAAGCCTTTTTCCTGGATTAAGGAACTTACTATGTAAGTGTTATCACTTAACCATCAGAATATGATGAGGAAAGTAATATACTCTCATTTTACCTATGAGATTCAAAGGACAAAAGTACCAGAACCAAGCAAGCCAAGCTACAAGGCAGCAAAGGCAGTATTTGAACTCAGGTCTTCTTGGTTCCAGAGTCCTTGTCTTCTCTACACTGTGCTTCATTGTCAGGTCCAACTGAGAGTCGCATAATGGCTCACAGAGGAGGAAAGGGTTCCTCACCCTTAGGGGCCTGATAGGATTTCTTGTGGGGAAAGGATGTACCGTATTTTGCCATGCATAATGCACTCCCACATATAATGCACTCCCATGTTTTTGTGCACATTATACATGGAATTATTATGCCTATGGTATGTAATCATTAGATCCATGTATAATGTACATTCTTATTTTTCCCCTCATATTTGGGCAAAAAATGCACATTATGCACAGGAAAATATGGTATGTAAAGAAAGTCAATATAACAAGGAAGAGAACTGCGTACCTTTCCTGCTCCTTTACAAAAATGTTACAGTAGAGTCGTTGATAAGAACATAGCATATGTTCATAACTTGCATCATTTTATCCTGGTCTTTGGATTCTTGACACTAAAACATATATGTGTCATTTGCTAATTTTATTTTCTCTCTTATATAAAGAAAGAAACCACTCCATTATGTTCCATAAAGCTTTGTAGGATTAAAGGTCCAGGAGCACAAACAAGTGTTGGGTGAAGAGGAAGCTGCTCAACCAATCATGACTGGGATGGATGGGAGTGGAACCATGAGAATCTACTTTTACCAGGTCCAGGACTAAGATAAATAGAAGACAGACATGAAAAGTAGCATCAGGAACTTCACTCACTGTGATTTCATAGGCTTGAAATTTAGAGTTCCCACAAAAAATTACAATCATGTACTTGAGCAAGGGAAGACATGCATACACAGAGCAAGGCAAAATATTTTGGGAACACAAAGTAGACAAAAGTGGGCAGTTTCTCATCACTTTAAAGAAATGCCATTTTCACCTATTCAGAAATCAGACTTAAGATCTGCTTAATGTAGTGGGTACATGGAAATGACTACAATATTTTAGAGTATCATGAGTTAAGAGAAAGGTAAAGAGAGTATCTAGCTAATGATTTGTAGATTTCTATTTTGCTATACCATATCATAATCTTCCTACCCCCAAGAATTTTCCACAAGTTTCTGGCTCATGAAAAATTAACATCAATAAGATAATATGGTTATTTGTATGCATAGCCAATATTATACTGCCTTATAGATTTATAGATTTCTGTTTTATTTGAAGACTTAGTTACCAATATCCTGGATTAATTAAAGGTTCATATTTAAATAAACACTCATAGAAAAAAATGTGACTCACAATCTAAACCTCTAAAAGATACCTTTTAGATTATGAAAAACTGAGGGGAAGAGACAGGGGAAGCAAGGTCCACACAAATAATTTGTATTCTTTAATACCAAAGACCTTCATTTTAAAATAAACAAGTAAAGAAAAAATAAATAAATCTAGACTCTTACAGCCTTGGCGGATATATGGGTGTTCTGTGGTTTCCTAGAAAGCCATACTTTCAGAGAAGTAATGACATCCATCCTCCTAGCAGTAGCAGGTGTGCCAGTCAATACCTCCTTAATTAACTTATAACTCGAGAAAGAAAAAACACAGTGAAAACCATAGTCTAAAGTCAGTTGCCTTGACTCTAGACCTCATACCTGGTATTAATTTTTAAAAACAACCCCAGAATATTTTTTTTTCAAAAGTTTATCTCAGGTTAATCTTGAATGCCTGCCACCTCTTTTCAGACCTACTAACATGTACATTCTTTCTCCCCCATCTTCCTAACTTCTGGTCTCACTTCCTGAAGCTACAAGTACCTGCAAGCAAATGACTTTGTCCCCAGGCTGAGCCATAGTGTCTGGAGAGTAGTCCCCATCCTGTCTAGACTGCTGCCTTCCCCGAGTCTTCCCGACGGCCACAGGATTAACGGCTTCCAGGTGTGATGGATTAGGCAGCATTGTCACATGCAGGGGATGGTGTGCACCGAAGTCCAGGTCAACAGAGGAGGTCAGGTGAGACAGAACATCTCCAGTGGATGGGACATTTTCCGGGAATTCACTTAGGCCTCGCATTTTGCGAAACATCAGCTATTGTGGAGACACATACAGGAAAAAATGTTTTTTATCGTAATGGAGACTAGAGAAGAACTGGCTGATTTAAGTTATACAACACAAAAAAATTGTGCACATGCTTTTATAATTATTATTACCATGAATTATTTAAAGATAGCCACAAATTTATAACTGCTCAAATGCACAGAACTATTTGGAGATCTTCACAAATGACATACCAACACTATGAAGAGTCTAACATGACATAGTAAGTTACGCCTGCCTCACAATAGGCAAAATAATTTTTCTTAAATACATCTGTTAAAATATATTTTCAAAAGAACTTTTTAAATTAATTTCATTAAAAATAGAGAGGAAAATAATGGAACTTAATCCCATTTAGGGAGGGGACAACATATCTCTTAGTTCAAGTTACATGTAAAAAACTATAGAAGTCCAGTATTCAAAGGACTTCTTTACATACATTCTCTCATTTTCAGTCTTCTACGAGATAGATGTCACTACCCATTTTTAAAGTGAACAAGCAAGAGATGTTAACTAAATTGTTAAAGGTCCTTGGCTAACAAGTAACAAAGTTGGATCTCAAACCAAAGTATTTACTAAAACAGCATGTTATTCTAAATTAGACAAATTGTTTGAATGATCCAAAGGCTTCTCTAATTTGAAAAGCTTATTTACCTATCTACAAATAGGAACATACACAGAGTAGATACAGATGTGTTTGTCACAAATATGGTCAGTTATAATAATTTTTGCATCTTTGAATAATTTCTTTGAGATATTTTAGAAATGTAATTTTTCGTTTAAGAATTTCTGCATGTATCTAAGCACATGCCTCCATCTGTCAATCACTTTATCCTGTTATACTCTACTTTTTCTAATGTATTTGTCTTTTAAAAGTTGATTATCAATCTCAGCATCAGAAACACTGAGGTATGAGTAATAGTGGTAAAGTTTGGCCCCTCGACATGATACCCATCCTTCCATGGGTTCTAGTCACTCCATCTTAACTTTGACAGTCCCTTTAACATTTGTAGTTATTTTTAATCCCCTGGCCAAGGACAGTAATGAGGCTTATAAGCGCATACTGGTCACAACCTTATTATTATCAAATCTCTTTGATGTTCCCTGATATCAGATCTTCAGTCCTGATTCTCAAGTCTTTTGAGAGACTTATAGAGCAGAGCAGCTGAGTTGGACTAAATAGAAATACCAAGATCCTACTGCCTATAAAACCACTTACTTGGGTGATCTCTTAAGATAACAATGTATATCATTAGTTTTAGTACAACCTATTAATTATAAACTCTGCAAATAAGTGGAAGGTAAAATTGACTTCTTGGGAGGCGAAATTGTATAAAATTGCACAGATCTTTGCGTTTATTCAAACAATTTTTATGAAGTAAGAAAAGCATGCGTCAAAAACAAGAATTTATTCATATCATCCTTGAGTAAATAAACTAATCTTTAACTTCCCTGAAAGAAGAAAGAACCCAAATAAGGAATGCAGAAAATCAACCAAAATACCTGTTATAATCTGCAGCATTGGGTTCCATCAATTAACTAAGCTATGTTCTAGATCAATGATTCATATGCTTAGTCGGTTTTCTAAAAGGAATTATTACCATTGGTTTTATTCTGTTACACTCGTATGTCATAGACAGTATCTTACCTCTGGGGGGAACTGCAGAAGGCCTGTGAGTAAATTAAGTCTCCCTCTATGGGGCATCCCAATAATGACATCAGTGATCCCACTGTAGGCTGACATTTTCAGCAACTCATGGAAAAAGCCCATCATGCTTTCAGCTCCTTCGCCTCCATATCGCTTCACTGTGGCAAACTTGGTGGCCAAAAAGTGGTCAAACTCCTGTGGAACATCACAGCACACACATTAGTTACGGGAAGATAACCAACTACTTAGGTCAAAGTCAGACACATTTATGCATATTGTTAAGAAGACCTTGCACTACTTCAAGTGGTTGCAGCCATGCTCCTTCACTACCTGTCCCCGAGAAAGACATAAGTCACCCAGAATCCAGCAGGAGAGCCTTGCCAAGGACACCAGACCACAGGAGGGGATGCAGGGGAAATAACCTGAGAGATAGAATAATTTAGCTCAAGAGGAACCTCCCTAGATGAGTGCTCTTCCAGATTAGGGGTCAGGCCTCAGATTTCTGCTGCCTCAGTCAGTACCTGAGTTTTAGTATCCAGCTCTACAATACTCTTTTATCAAGGCTGCGAGCTAGCCACTCTCTGAATTATTGGGAATACATTTTTGTCATCTTGATATGCCTGAATCCTAATCATACTACTGATGAACATTCAATTCCATTAACTTGCATTGGTTTATATTCCACGTATAGTTATCTTTTTCTTTTTTTTAATCACTTCAGGTAATAAAAATAGATCTTAAGGATTTTGTGATTTTCTATAGAGTGAATAAACAAATATGTATATAAAAAGTATTCTGGCCCTGGCTGGTGTGGCTCAGTGGATTGGATGCCAGCCCGTAAACCAAATGGTCACCAGTTTAATTCCCAGTCAGGGCACATGCCTGGGTTGTGAGCCAGGTCCCTAGTAGGGGGTGCACAAGAGGTAACCACACACTGATGTTTCTCTCCCTCACTTTCTCCCTCCCTTCACCTCTCTCTAAAAATAAATCTTAAAAAAAAAAGTATTCTGACTGAGGAGAACCAGTAGTTCCCCTGTTTGGCAATCTACTTTTTCCTACATAGAATAAAGTTGTATGTGTTATATTGTCTGTTGTGTTGAGACAATGAGGAGTAAATGGAGGTACATTAAGAGATTTAATGCCTAATTCCCTCTCTTCGGTATTTATGTATCTTTGTAAGAAATAAACTGACCTATTCCACTGATATTTGCTGCTGCTTTTATACCTGAGATTCTAGCATTAATTTGGACAGATGTTTTCGTTCTTCTGTGGTAAATGTCTCCTTTTTCAGCTCCTCAAACCGCTTGGCAAACCAATCTTTCTCCTCCTGGCTCTGAAGTTGGGAGGTTTCGATGGAAATCTGCCCACAGTAGATTTGGTCGAGATAGGCTAATACTTCCTCAAGAGAGGCCTCATCCTTCCCCATGTTCAATAATCCTATGAAATGGAATCAAAGGGATCCTCTTAAAGAAGAATCAGCCATGTAACTAATTATAGAATATACCAAAATAATTATTTCAATTCAGAGCATTTTGTTCTGAATAACCTGGGTCATTATCAATGTTCACCTACATGTTACTAAAAGCATAACTAAAAATATGGTCAAAAGCCCTAATGTAGTAAAACTAGAAGAGGAAAAAGAAAATCTTCACAAGGAAAAAGCCATACTGTTTCATGTCAAATTTTGATTTTATAGTCATTTAAACTAAAATTCCAAACCTACTTTTCACCTGCTTTATAGCTATAAATTTTTTGCCCTACCTCTATCTCAAAACTATCAACTAAAATGTTCAAATCTTAATGATATCTATAAGGCAATGTCTATTATTGAACAGTTGGTCTTAATTTGAATTAATATTGATAGCAAAGCAACATTTTAAGGTAAAAGTAAATCTCCCTAATAGTCAAAGAAAAGGAAATTTTGTAATATGTCATTAACTCAGCACCAACCGGATCAGTTATCAGTCATTTGCCTAAACTTACAACGTGAGTTAAACCAACATTTACTCTATGTTGCTTATGGTTTCTTACAATAAACTTTAGATCTTTGATATTGATTGACCAATGCTGCAATGAACATGGGAATGCAGATATGTCTTCAACATCTTGATTTCAATTCCTTTGGATAACACCCAGCAGTGGAATCTCTGGGTCATAAGGCAGTTCCATTTTTAATTTTCTGGGGAATCTCCATGCTGTTTTCCTCAGTGGCTGCACCAGCTTACATTCCCACCAACAATGCAAAGGAGTCCCCTTCTTACACATCCTCCCCAACATATTAGATGATATCTCATTATGGTTTTGATTTGCACTTTTCTGAGTATTTTCATGTACCTGTTGGCCATTTGTCTATAGATTTTTTAATACAGAGTAACTGGGCCTTATCAAAAGCCCTTCTAGAACTTCAAGACTCCTCCCTGACAATGCTTGAAGCTCTAGTGGGCATAGGGGTTCTTCAAAAATAGAGAAAGGATCCCCACCTCTGTTGGCAGGTAACTACTACATGCAAGGTCTAGTGTCATGATTGTTACCTGTGGTATTAAAGGGTCCCTGCAGGGTCTGCACAAGAGCTTGGATTTCAGGCACATTCTCCTGGAGGGCTTGTCCGGTGAAGAGGGGGTTGATTTTGGCAGCTTTATGACCATGCTCACAATATACTGTCACCAACCTGGCAAGTCCATGATCAACTAATTTAGAGGAAAGAGAAAGCAATACAAGCAGTTTAGGAAATGCTCACAAACCAGAAAAATCAGTTTTTCAAAGAAGCCTTTGTCTAAAGAGGCCTTAGACATTTTTAATGCATTGCTCCCACCTACCACATCTGCCAGTGGTTTTCAGGATTAAAGACTATCAGAATCCAGGAAACATACTTATTCCCTTAAATTTATCTCATGATAACTAAAGTCACTAAAAACACCAAAATGTAAATAGAGCCATGAGTGTACATTTATAAAACAACTATGCACCTGAATAAATATTAAAAGGAAATTCCCCAAATTGGGGGGGGGGGGACCTCTTACAGTGCTGAGATTATGGATAATTAGTCCTCTCAATTATTGTTTAAGATGTTTTTCAACATTTCATATAAAAAATAGAGATAGGTAGAACTACAAAATCAATGTTAAATTTCTTTTTTTCCCATTTTCTCACTTTTATTTTTCATTTTTATTTTTTTGCTATTTTTAATTGAATTTATTGGGGTGACATTGGTCACAAAACCACAGGGGCTTCAAGCGTACAATTCAACAAACATCATCTGCACACTGCATCGTGTGCCCGTCACCCAAAGTCTCTTTCTGTCCCAATTTATCCCCTTTGCCCACATCTACTTACCTCTACCCCTTTTTCCCTCTGAGTATCATCACATACATTTTTTTCTTATTTCTTAAAGACCCCACGTACATAGATATTTCATAGGCTCATGAAATCTTAGAAATTATCATGTCACTCACATAATGCAAAAAAAGAAAAATCTCCTTTGTAAAACCCTAAATGAGTGATCCCCCAGTCTCTACTTACATGAAACCATTATCTTTCAATGAATCCACTTCTATCTGAGATGATTTCATACTGAGCCAAAAGCTGCTTTTCTTTTCTTTCCACAGGCAAGCCCTAAAATTTGAGGGGGAAATCCCTCAGGCCCACATTCAGTTAACCTTTAGTTTGTCAAGGCAGTTTTACACAAACTGAGCACAAATCCCCGAGGACAAGCAGTTGAGCCATAGAGAGCACACAGTTTTCTGAACATTTTTTAAATTTTCACTTTTATTTTCAGAACCCAAAGAAAGCTGTTAATATATTTTCAAATATTTAATGAGCATTTTTTCAACACGTATTGCCATGCAATGATTTAAGAGTTACATAGCTGCCTAGGTTTGTGTTCAGCATACTTCGAAGTGTACATGTTGACATAGACTTAGAAGAAAAAAGAGATGTATTTAATACATAAAGGGTGTGTCCACATTCATACTGTGATTAGAGAGATCCATACTAGGTCTCATACACTAATCAAACAAGCCCAGTAAATAAACTGATCTCCAAATGGAGATTAGTCTTATACTCCCATATGGTTCTACTCTGGACTGTATTCAAGTTCTTATTTGCTGTTTTACAAAGTAGGAAATCTTTACATTTGTGGCTAAAATCCAGACAGATCATGTCTAAAGCACTGTCCTTTTGTACCAACTCCCATGTAAGTGTTCTACAGTATCATTAAAAGCCTGGCTGTTGAGCATTTAGAAAATGGAGCAGTGATCTCTGTAAGCTGATGTTTACTCAGAGAATGTTTTCAAAAGGGCTGTTAGATTGCTATGTAACCCTGTATATGATGGTAACCTTGTGTATTTGCTATGGACTTGTCCCACTGAAGATGGAGTATTTTTTTTTTAAGATTTCATTTATTTGTTTTTACAGAGAGAGTAAGGGAGGGAGAAAGAGAGGGAGAGAAACATCAGTCAGTTGCCTTTCCCACACCCCCAACCAAGAACCTAGCCCGCAGCCCAGGCATGTGTCTTGACAGGGAATTGAACCTGTGACCTTTCAGTTCACAAACTGGCACTCAATCCACTGAGCCACACCAGCCAGGACGAAAGAGGGAGTATTGTAGATGATACTGGAAGCCATGGAAAGTAGAGATCACCCAGAAAGAAAATAAATTGAGAAGGTGACTCTGAGAAGACCAGACCCATAGAGTACCAATATTTTAGAGGTAAGCGAAGAGAAAGAGCCCCCCAAATAGTAACTGAGGTTGTTAGGAGGAAAACCAGGATATTGTAATATCAGAGAGCCAAGGAAAGATGTATTTTTAAGAAGGAGTGGCCTTTATGAGACAACCATTATTAAAAGTTCTTTAACTATGCCCCAGCTGGTGTGGCTCAGTGGACTGAGTGCTAGCCTGTGAAACAAAGGGTTGCCAGTTTGATTCCCAGTCAGGGCACATGCCTGGGTTGTGGGCCAGGTCCCCAGTAGGGAGCGTGTGAGAGGCAACCACACATTGCTGTTTCTCTCCCTCTCTCCCTCCTTTCCCCTCTCTCTAAAAATAATAAAATCTTTAAAAGTTCTTTAAAAATACATATATGTATATGTACACACACACAGGGTAGACCAAAGTAGTTCACAGTTATTCATAGGGAAAATAATGCAATAATTAATAAATAATAATATAAGAATAAACTCTGTGTTTCACGTACTCACAATTATAAATCTACTTTTGCTTGCCACGTCCTGTACATACTTCATATATATAGAAGAAACAGACCAAAAACTCAGTAATCACCCTATGTCAAAATTTCTCATTTTTTTGTTTGTGTATCATATATTCTAAGTTTTCCACAGTGGACATGTACATTAGACCACCTTAAATTGCATCCATTGAACATGCTTGCTGCCCTCTGAAAAGTCTGCGTTCTGAAAGCTTTTCATTAGTGGGTTCTCTCCAGTGCACCTGCATGCCTGCCCTCACCAGTTGACTAAATACTGGTAAAAATCAGTTGTATTTGTCCCTAAGTCTGTTGCTGTGGGAAAAAGTTAAATATTAGGAGAGAAATTATAAACATCTAGAAAGATTTTGCATTCAGATTGCTTTTACAAGCTCTCTTTAAATACTTGCATAGATGTAAACAAAAATATAAATATTTAGGGTAAAATAACTTGAAGCATCTCTCACACCTTTATGATAATCTTTGCTTCAATGACTCTAAAAAATTAACTGACCAATTTCTAGTTTCAAATCCATTGGATACAAGTGCTTCTGCTATTTTTCTTCTTTAGCAAATAATGAAAGTATTTGTTACAAAATATTTATGTATTTAAAAAATGAAATATGCAATGAAAATAATTAAATTAGGGTATTTAAAGAATATAAAATAAAAAAGAAATAAAAAATATTTAAGAGGATGAGAGAACAAAAATAGAATGCATATAGTCTTCATTAAAATAACTTCCTATTACTGTATAAATCAAAGGGCTACCATAACAGAAAAAAGAATACCTTTATGTTAGGCACAATACTGTCCAATCAACTTAGAACTCATAATATTTCTAAAAGTCCAGAGGAATTTAAGTTAAATCCCTTAAGATGCCAGAGAAAATAGGGAAAATAACAACAGAACACATGCACACTCTTCTTCAAAACAAGAGAGAAAATATTGGAGACTGGCACACAGGTGCTCAAGAAATATGTGTTATTACGTGAATGAAGGAAGCCCTGAGAATCCGCATATTGTAACAGCCATAGAATCCTCAAAATGAAGGTTTTCCAGAGCCCTGGAGAGCTGAAGTAGATCCTTCTTGCTCACATGGAGCCCTCTTTTCTGAGAACTGCACCCTCCCATCTGAGGAGGTGGGTTCCCGTGGTCATGTCTATATCACTCCATTCTGCCTCCCTACAAGTTCATGGATTCCAAAGACATATCAGTCAAAGTGGATCATATTTGATCTTTCCAGAGCTTGAGACTCAGAACTGAGAGATAAGTTCTGAGAAAAGAGTTAGCCTGAGACGGCTAATCTTAGAAAAGACTTACTTACCAGTTTGGTCTTTGGCTAGTGTCCTGGAACTTAGATTTCAGAATTGTCCTCACCTGTCTCTTAACTGATAAAGGTGATCCACAATGCCTAGATTTTGCGAACAATGTGGTTTTTGCTGAACACCTGCTTTTCTAGTGGGAGTCTGGAATTTTGGCATGTGTAGAGGATGCTTACAGGAATATCTCCCAATAAAAACCTTGGGTGCCAAGACTCTACAGCGCTTCCCTGGGCAGAAATATTTCACATATGTTGGAGTATTTTTGTCATTTGACTAGGTGTGCATTCTGCCACTCCTCATGGGACAGAGTATAAGAAAGCCTGCACAGTGGTTCCTCTGGACTCCTCCTGTGTTTTTTTCCCATTCTGATCCAGCTGTGTATTCCTGTTCTACCACTGTAATAAATCTTATCCTTGAGTGCAATGATATGCTGAGTCCAAATGTGGTGTGGTCTGAAGGGCACCCAACACATGTTATGGGTGACACTGGAGCTGAGTACACTTAACAGCTGTGCCCTATGAGCCCACACATAAAGCTTCTGCCAATATTCTCAGAGATAGCTCGGGTTTACCCCACATATCTTTCAGCTCTAGAAGATACCCTTGTATCTCTAAAATAAAATCCCCTCTTCGCTTAAAATAGCCAGAGTTGGTTTCTGCTGCTTATGACCAAAAGAATCTTAGCTAAAACAAGTAGAAAAGAAGTAGAAAAGTAAATTATGACAGGCGTATCTACATCAATTACTTTATTCTCTGCAGTAAACGAACAAGGTGGTGGTGGCACCAAATAGTGTTTAAACTAAAATTCAATACAATTTATTTTTATCATCTCCCCCCAAAATATGTAGATCATATCCACAGTCTATTTCCATTCAAGATAGCATATGCTTAAAGCAAATGGAAATGTTAGATATCTATAAAAACACTGAAGACTTTATGAAAGGGAATTTCATAACTGGAGTCCCTTAGAATCCTATAAAAATGAGATGGCTGCCTCCAGCTTCTACTTCAGAACTTCATAGGTAACCACATCAACAGCCAAGGCTTTGTACCAGAGTACTATATTCTGTATATCAAACTCAGACCTATGCTGTGCAACTGAGTTCATTTCATATCTCAAACATAGTATCTTTGTAAAATAAATTTACTTTGCCAGATATTTGCT